TATATATATATATATATATTTAAAGGAAAGTCTCGATTCTAATTTTGTAATCAAAAAATATATTATTAAGAGGAGAGGCTCACTAAAAATAATGAATCATGTTCATTAATAAAATATGTTCATATAAGTATATACAATGATCCAAAAGTAATTGTAGAGGTTACCTAAGTTATTAGTCAAATAACTCTACAAAATTGTATAGAAGTGGTAAGCTATATCGTTATCTAGCATGACCCTCAACATGCAATTGTTAGATTTTTTTAACTTAACCTTGTCTTACTTTCATGTAAATATGATTATCACAAACTAACCACCAAAAAACATACAAATATAAGCTAGTATGCAAAAGAATAATTTGTTTGATTAGTCTTATTTTATCTTTTGAGTTTTTTTATGGATATGATAATTTTTTATTTTAAGATTTTTTCTGGATGTTATAGAATATGTAATTAAAAATAATGAAACTAATTTTTTTTTAAATATTTTCTTTTGGCAATTAAATAATATATAAAATATAATTAGAAAACTAAAATAAAAATTTCTCCACTTTAAAGTTCAAATAATCATTTAAATTTCATTATTTTGAATTACATAATTAAGTAAAGATCATTAAATTTATTGAAAGATAAAAGATTTTAATGGAGGTAATTTTAATTGATACTGACTTGTATCAATAAAAAATTTAATATGTAATAGATGTTAAGAAATGTGATTCAAATTACCGCATATACTGTATAAATAGTAATAGACTCTTTCTATATTTTGTACTACTCAGTGAATAACAAAAAGTTTTTTTTCTCTCACTTTACGTTCTCTATGGTGTTCTCTATGGTATTATCTCTCATTTTTGTGGGTAAGTGGTTTTGCTCTAACAAACTGGTATCAGAGCCAAGAGTGATGTGTTCAACATCTTTAAAGATTTCAAAGCTCTTGTGGAAAAACAATCTGGAAAGTGCATTAAAATTCTGAGAACAGATGGTGGAGGGGAATTCACATCTGGAAGGTAGTGGAAGAATCAAAGAAGCTCGAAGAATTGAAGGTAGAGGAACTTCAAGGTTCCCTTGAGGCACATGAGCAGAGACTCATTGAAAGAGGTTCAGTGAAGACTGATGATCATCAAGCACTGCAAGCTCAAACCTCAAAAAGGGGACGTTACAACTCCAAAGGAAACTTCAGAGGCCGAGGACGTGGGAGAGGATTCAGAGGTGGCTTTGAAAGAAATAATCAAAGCCAAGATCAAGGAAAGATTGATCAAGATCAACCAGAAAGCTAAAATAGAAAAGAGAGTTTCAATAATTGGCGAGGAGGAAAAAAAAAGGTTATTGATAGAAAAAGAATTAAATGTTTTAACTATAATCGAATTGGACATTTTTCTGGAGAATGTGAAGCTGCACCAGGTCGCACAGATCAACGGGGAAGTCAATCACATAGTGATTATCAAGCACACATGGCCAAAGAAGAGAATGAAGCAAATTCTGAAGAACAACCTTTAATGTTGATGATGATCACTAATCCAGAATCTCATAACAATGAAACTTGGTACATAGATTCTGGGTGTTCAAATCATATGACGGGATATCGTGACTGGCTTGTTAACTTTGATGCAAAAAAGAAGAGCACAGTGAGGTTTGCAGACAACAGAGTCATTCAGGCAGAGGGTACTGGGAATGTGTTAGTCACGAGGCAAGATGGAAGACAAGCAGTGATTGCAGATGTGCTTTATGTTCCTGGAATGAAGAGCAACTTGATCAGTATGGGCCAACTCTTGGAGAAAGGCTTCTCAATGAACATGGTCAATGGTTTTTTGGAAATTTATGACACAACAAAGAGAATGATCGTGAAAGCCCCTCGGGCCAAGAACAGAACCTTCAAGGTAAGCCTAAACACTATTGAATCTCAATGTCTTTCCGTTGCTACGTTGTCAGATGATGCATGGTTATGGCACCTCAGGCTGGGCCACTTAAATTTTAGAGATATGAGTCTCTTGAAATCCAAGGAAATGTTGACTGGTCTTCCTTCAATCAAAATTCCCAAGAAGGTATGTGACAATTGCTTAATCAGCAAACAACCCAGCAATTTTACTGCTTCTAAGGCTAGTGAAATACTGCATGTTGTTTACTCAGATGTTTGTGGGCCTATTGACACTCCATCATTAGGAGGAAATAGATATTTTGTCTCCTTTGTTGATGATTTGAGCAGAAAGGTGTGGCTCTACCTAATCAAAGCCAAGAGTGATGTGTTCAACATCTTTAAAGATTTCAAAGCTCTTGTGGAAAAACAATCTGGAAAGTGCATTAAAATTCTGAGAACAGATGGTGGAGGGGAATTCACATCTGGAGAACTTGAAGGTTTCTGCAAGGAGCATGGTATAGTTCATGAAGTAACTGCTCCTTACACCCCCCAACACAATGGCATTGCAGAAAGGAGGAATAGGACAATTTTGAATATGGTCAGAAGCATGCTCAAAGAGAAGAATCTTCCTCACAGCTTCTGGGGTGAAGCAACCATGATAGCTGTGTATGTTCTGAATAGGTGCCCAACCAAGAGACTTGACTCCATGGTTCCAGAGGAAGCCTGGTCAGGAAGCAAACCGTCAGTCAAGCATTTTAGGATTTTTGGATCCTTATGTTACAGGCACGTTCCTGATCAGAGGAGAAAGAAGTTGGATGACAAGAGTGAGCCAATGATTTTTGTTGGATACAACCCTACAGGTTCTTATAAGTTGTACAATCCAAAAACAAAACAAGTTCTCTTCAGCAGAGACGTTTATTTTGACGAGTCTAATTCATGGAGTGAGTCACAGTCCAAAATTGAAACAGTTTCAAAATTACAGTTTGACTGGGAAGAAAATAAATCAATAGGGGAAACTACTCAGGAGACAATGAATGATGTATCTCGAGCAGTGAAAAACAGACCGACAAGGAACAGAAATTTTCCCTCAAGACTCTCAGATTATCAAGTTTATCCTAACAATGCTATCTCAGATGATGGTGATCTAGTTCAGCACCTGGCACTCATGGCTGATGTGGAACCTATCAGTCTTGATGAAGCTATCACTAGCAAAGAGTGGAGATCAGCTATGGAAGAAGAATTGAGGAGAATTGAGAAGAATCATACCTGGGAAATGGTAGAATTACCACAGAACAAGACCCCTATTGATGTTAAATGGGTTTTCAAAATTAAGCTCAAACCATATGGCTCAATTGCTAAGCACAAGGCTAGATTGGTAGCAAAAGGTTTCATGCAGAGGGAAGGAATAGATTACTCAGAGGTGTTTGCTCCTATAGCTAGATTGGAAACTGTGAGACTGATTGTTGCTTTGGCTAGTTGGAGGAATTGGAAGTTATGGCAGCTGGATGTTAAGTCAGCTTTTCTCAATGGACCACTTGATGAAGACGTGTTCATTGTACAACCTCCTGGCTTCATAAGTAAAGGGAATGAACAGAAGGTTCTGAAGTTAAGGAAGGCTCT